TTTGCAATATTTTGTAGTTTTCAGTGTATACGTCTTTTGCCTCTGACTAAATTTGTTCCAAAGTATTTTATTCTCTTTGATGCTATTATAAATGGAATAATTTTCTTAATTTTCAGGAAATGGAGTTGTTCACTGCTAGTGCACAGAAACATCACTGATTTTTGTTTATTGATACTATATACAGCCACTTTGCTGAATTTCCTTATTACCCTCAGTAGTTTTCTTATGGGTTCTTTGGGGTCGTTTACATATGGAATCATGTCCTCATCAAACAGAAATAGTTTAGTTTTACTTATTCCTTTCCAATTTAGATGCCTAGCTAAAGTACCAGGACAATGCTGGATAACAATAACAAAAGTATTCTTGTCTGTTCCTGTTCTTGGAGGTGAAATGCTCTTCATCAGGTTGAGGAAGTTCCTTTCTATTTCTAGTTTATTTGGGTTTTCTCCTCATGAAAAGGTGATGGATTTTGTCAAATGCTTCTTATGTATCTATTAGATTATCTGGTAGGTTTGTTCCTTTTCATTCTAGTAATATGGTGAGTTGCACTGATTGATAGATTTTCATGTATTAAGCCACTCTGCATTGCTGAGATAAGTCCTATCTGGTTATGCTTTATAATCCTTTTACTATACCACAGGATTTTGTTTGTATTTTGTTAAGGATTTTTCCATCTATACATACAATGATATTGCTCAATAGTTTTGTTTTTTTATGACGTCTTTGTCTGGCTTTGTTATCAGGGTAGATAGAATGAGCTGAGACGTCTTTTCATATATATTTAGAAGAGTATGAGATAAATCTCTGTCAATTCTTCTGTGATTGGTAGAATTCAACAATGAAGCAATCTCTTTCTAGGATTTTGTGTCAAAAGTTTTTTTTATTACTGATTTAACCACTTTTTTCCTTTTTCATGCTATTGGGGATTGAACCCAGGTCCTTCACACTGAGCTACATCTCCAGTCTTTTTTTTTTTTTAATTTTGAGACAGGGTCTTGATAAGTTCCTACATTGCCTAGGCTGGGCTTAAATTTGGAATCTTCCTACCTCATCCTCCCAAAGTGGTGGGATTCTAGGTGCATACTACCATAGTAGGCTAGTCTCTTTATTCATTAACATTTTTAGTAGTTCATATTAGTTAAATAGAACAATGTGTTTCAATTTGGCATATTTGTATATGCATATAACATGCTTTGATTATTTCTACCTTCCATTATCACTCTTTGCCCTTTCTTCCTCCCTTCCTCTTCCCTAAGTCTCCCTTCTACTTTCACATAATCTCTTTTTCTCCTAGATACCATGTAGAAGAAACACAGGAGATACTTATCTTTCTGAGTCTATCTTACTTCATTTAACATGAAGATCTCCAGCTCCATCCATTTTTCTGAAACTGCCATGATTTCATTCTTTATGAATGAATACTACTTATTATTGTGTACACATACCACGTTTTCTTTGCTCATTTATCAGTTGATAGGCACCTAGGCTATTTCCATGGCTTAGCTATCATGAATTTTGTTGCAATATATGTGGGTATGTAGGGATCTGTTTGTACTTTGACTTTCTTTTTGACTATGTACTAAGCAGTGGTATATTGGGATTAAATGATAATTCTAATTTTAGTTTTTTGAGGAAGGTCAATACTGATTTTCATAGTGGTTGTATTAATTTACATTTCCACTAACAATGTGTAGGAGTACTTTCCCCCTGTATCCTCATCAGCATTTATTATCTTTTGTATTGATGATAGCCATTCTGAGTGTGGTAAGATGGCATTTTATTATAGTCTTGATTTGCATTTCCCTAATGGCTAAAGATGTTGAAATTTTTTTTCATATACTTATTGGCCATATATATTTCTTCTTTTGAGAAGCACCTGTCTAGTTCAGTGATGGTGACTCTTTTAGAGACCGAGTGCCCAAACTGAAGCCCCAAATCCACTTATTTATTGCAAAGTGCCAACACTGCAATTAAACCTGAATACTGAAGTTTTAGTTCAGAAAAAATAACTGTTATCCTATGCTTGACTGCTAGGGCAACTTGGATCATGGGCTGACAGAAAGGGCTCAGTGTGCCTGCTGTGGCACATGTGCCATAAGTTCATCTCCACTGGTCTAGTTCATTTGGCCATTTATTGATTGAGTCATTTTCTAATGTTCTGTCTGTTTATTCTTGATTTTCCATTTCTTTTAAAGTCAGTTTTGATAGTTTGTGTATTCCTAGGAATTTGTCCATTTCATCTGAGTATCTAATTTATTTGCATATAATTATTTATAGGATTCTCTCAGGATGGTTTTTATTTCTGTAAGGTGAGTAGTAAAGGTCTTCATTTCATTCTATTTTAGTAATTTGAAACATTCCCCTTTTTCTTCAACAATCTGTATAAAAATTTGTCAATTCTATTGCTCTTTCCAAACAGCTAACCTCAGTTTCATTAATTCTTTCTATTGTTTTTCTCTTTTGTATTTTATTTCTTTCCACTAGAATACTTAACATTTTCTTTTTTCTGCATGCTTTGAGTTTAGTTTTGTTTTTCTTATTGCTTAGGATAGGTAGCTAGATTAATAATTTGATGTGTTTTTTAAAAATATAGACATGCCTAGTTATGAATTTTCTTCTGAACACTACTTTTGCTGAACCCCATTAGTTTTGGTATGTTGTTTTTCATTCGTCTTAATGTATTTTTAGATTTCTCTTGTGACACTTTCTTTGACCTAGTGGTTATTTTGGAGTGTTTTAATTTTCACATAAATATCAGTAAGCTTTTCCATTGGTAGGACATAATACTTGAAACCCATAAACCACAACGTAAAGGAGAAGAAGTTCAATTTAGCTCATGGTTTAGGAGACTAAGTCCACAGTTTCTTGACTCTTAAGATAGAAACATCTTGTTAAAAGGGCATGGTGGAAGAAATCTGCTCAGCTCATGATAGCCAGGAAACCGAGAAAAGGGAAGACACCCCCAGGGATACACCTCTTCCAATCAGGCCTCATTTCCTAAGAGCACATTTAGTTATAAATTCATCAATGGCTCAATCTGGTGATGAATATAGCGTCCCCATCATCCAATCACCTTCTAAAAGCCCTATCTCTCAACAATTTAGATTCTTGGAAAACATTCTAAATCTAAACTACAACAATATATTTGTATATTTTGCAAATTTCTTTGTGTTACTATTTTTAAATTTCATTCTATTGTGGCCAGAGGACATATTTACTATGACACCCACCATTTAAATTTATTGAGGCTTCTTTTGGAGCCCAAAATGTAGCCCAAGTTGGAAAATTTTCCATGTTTCCTTGAGAAGAATATGCAGTTTTTTTCTTTGGGAATTGATTGTTCTCTATATTTGTATATTTGTTTCATGGTATTATTTAAGTGTTGTATTTCTCTATTAATATTTTAAGTCTTTGTGTTTACTATTATAAACTGGGTATTGAATTATCCAACTGTATTATAGGACTGCTGTATCTCCCAAAAATCTATCTATGCGTGTATTCTGGGGCTTTGCTGCAGGTGTATATATAACTTATATACCTTGTTGAGAGATTAGCCTAGAAAACATAATATAATATTCTACTTTTCATTCTCAGTAATTTTTGTCTTAAACTGTACTTCCCCTGATAGTTGTAGACTTACTCTAACTCTCCATTAGTGGCTTGTATGGAATAATTTTTTCTACCTATTTAGTTTCAAATTCTTTGAGTTGAAAAAGAGTATTTTGTACACAATGTATATTTGGATCTGTTTTAAAAAAAAGATATCCATTCTTCTAATCTTTGCCTTTTAAAATTCATTCATATTTAATATACTTACTGAAAAGGAATGACTTCTGATTTTTTATTTTCTATTTGTATTTAAATATGTCATGTCATTCCTCCTTGCCTTCTCCTTTACTGCCTTCTTTGATGTTTCTGTAGTAACTTTTTATTTCCTTCACATTACCTTTTCTGCATATTAGTAGTTATTTTCTTCATAGTTGACCTGGAGTCTATAATTGTGATATTAACTTATGATAATGTATTTCAGATTAATACCAACTTAGTTTAAATATTCTACCAAAATCTTTGCATAGATTTGGCTCCATCTCATGTTGTTACTGTCATAAGTTACAACTTTACATATTATGTGTCTATCAACATAGATTTATATTGTTTTATGCAATTGTTTTTTAAAGCATATTATAGAGGATTTACATGCCAAAAATACATTAATACTTTCTTTAGTATTTATCCATATAGTTACCTTTACCATGTGTTTTATTTATTTCTCTGTTTTGATTGAAGCCTAGTTGTATCCTGGAGGACTCCTATAACACTTCTTCTATGGAAAATCCAGATCATAGGAGGAACATTGAGTCTAAAAAAAGACAGATACTATCTGAGATCAGGGTTGATCAGATAAAAGATAGGAGTGAATTTACAGATGGGAGCTCAGGGATTTCATGGCTAACTTACTTGATGATGATGATGATGATGATGATTTTTTGGTACCAGGGATCGAACTCCGGACCTTGTGCCTGTGAGGCAGGCAGTGGAACCACTGAACTAAATCCCCAGCCCCTTACTTGATTATCTTGATGACAGGGATTCTAAATTCATCTTTTCAGGACGAGGACGGAAGTATTCAGAGAGCATGACTGAGTCTATGGAAATTTGCAGTAGTAACTGAAAGTAGAAGAGACGATGGTGAGATAAGAACAGTTCTCATGTACTCACCTATCCAACTGGCAGCACCTGCCTAGGGATCCATTCTACCACGTTGGGTTCCCAAGTTTTTCTTTTTTTTTTTGCTACCAGGGATCGAACTCAAGTCCTTGCGCTTGCGAGGCAGGCGGTGGAACCACTGTGCTAAATCCCCAGTTCCTAAATTCTTGGAAACAAAGTTTCTGTTGGTTCCCTGGCAGTCTGTACTCTAGTCACACTGCCTCTTCTTCCGGTGGGTGGTGCTGTGCCGAGAGAGGCTGGTCCCAGAAGTCCTTGCGGCATAACGGCATGACGCCATGACTCAGAGCGTCTCTCTGTGACGTTTCACACTGTGGCCAGAGAGAGGTTGCTGTGTTGAAAGGATCAACATCTTTTGTGAGAAAGCAGGGTTGAGGGAGGGAGGAGACCTCATTGAAGGCCAGAAATGACCAAGGACCGAAGTAGGATTGAGTGGGGAGGTGAAGGGAAACCATTTTGACGGCAATAGCCTTTACTGGTGGCGGAGCTTCTTGAAGTAGGCTGCGGCAGCCATGGCTGTTGAATTTGGGGACCCCACCAGCGGCTTCCGTCACACTGAAGTGATACGGTTCATCAACAATGAAATTTTAATGAACGGTGGCGGCCAAGACTTTTACTTGACCTTCCGCTCACGGCCCTGGAACGAGGTAGAGGACGCCCTTCAAAACATCTTGAGTGACCAGCAGATACCTCGCAGGCACAAGAGGGCTTGTGCCTGGAGTGCACTTGCCCTAGCAGTGAGAGTGGCTGTCACACAACGAGAGCAACACATGCGCCGGGTCAGGCGGCTGAAGGAACAGTTGGGAGCACGTGAGGCACTCTCTTGGGCTCTAGCTTCGGAGCTGCAGCAACTGCGTCAGCAGCGAGACCAGGCAGCCACACAGCTGTACTTCACAAGGTCTGCTTTGCACCGGGCACAGAGTGAGTGTGATTTGCACCGTAGGAGGCTGCTCCAGTTTGAAAGGTGTGCGCAAGTTGCCCCACTGGCACGAGATATAGTGCCTGGGCCACGAGCTGAGCAGCTTGGGGCTGTAGCATGGCCCCCGAATGCAGAGCAGCAGAGAGATGTTTGGGCTATGAGAGAACATGGCAGGCTGTCTTTTGAGACCCTGATGCGAGCCCCAACAAGTGCTATTTACATGCCAAGATCCCCAAGTTCCAGGGTCCCAAGTTCCTGGGCTCTGACTATGCCATCGCCTATGCCAGTCCTGGTGCCGCCATCCTTCCCACTCCATGTGCCATTCCCAATGGGATTACCATCCTTGCCGCTTCTAACACCTACAGTAGTCACAGAACCAAAGGGCGTAATCCCATTTCAGATGTCTCCTGTGGGGATTTGCCCACCTGGCCCATTAACTACATGGGGCTTCCAGGATAAGATAGCATCTCTGTGGGACCAGAGTTGCCATGATCAGGTGGAAGGTCCAGAGATGCTACAGGTATCAGTCCCAGGGGACAACAGAAGCCTAAGCCAGGAAGATCTGCATTGGCCCCAGGGAATGCCTGTCCTTGGGGAAAGGGGATACCACAGACAAGAGAAAGATTCAGAGAGGCCCCAGGAGATGACACCCCTGGGGGACAGAGGGAAGCACAACCACGAAGAAGGTCCACTGTGGCCCCAGGGAGTGCCCTTCCTTGGAGAAAATTGGCAATATAGCCAAGAAGAAGATCAAGAGAGACCTCAGGAGATGACTTTGCTGGGGGACAGCAGAAGCCACAGCCAGGAAGATAGTCAAGAGGGAGCCCAGAGTATGGTACTCCCAGGTTTCAGTGATATTCAGATCCAGGCAGAAGGTACAGAGAGGGCTCAGGGCATGACAGACCTAGTGATCAACAGAAGCCACAGCAAGGAAAAAGATACAGAATGCATCCAGGCCATGACAGCTCCAGAGAGCAGCAGAAGCCATACCCAGGGAGGTGTAGAGAAAGGTCAGGGTGTGATACCCTCAGAGTTCAGCAGGATGCAGGAAGATGAAGAAAGACCCCAGTGCATTATACCCCCAGGTTTGAAGAGTCACAACCAGGAAGACAATGTAGAGAGAGCCAAGGGGACCAATTTGTGGAAGAGCTGGAGTCAAGCTGTGAGAGAAAGCCCTAAGAAACAGCACCCTCAGCAGCAGATGGCCAAACAAAAACAAGAGAAGAAAGCCTTGGAATCTCAACAACAGGTGAAGTCTGTTTCATGCCACAGTCCAGTGGGTTGGGTCTGCACATGGTGTAAAGCAATGAATTTTCCATGGCGCACAGCCTGCTATAAATGCAAGAAGATCCATGTGCCAGTGGAGAGTGGAGATGTTGACCCAGAACAAACTCACTGATTTCAGAAAGGTAAGTAAGAATGGAAGCACTCCAAAAAGCAATTTCCTAAGACCCCTTTCTCATAAAAAAGCAATTTATTTACTTCACAGATAATTTGAAACCAAAATATAATTGAAAAAATTAAATAATTCATTATTCCATTATTCAAATTAATTAATTTTTATCATTGTGGGCACACATACGTACAACTATGTACATATTTATATTATTATTTTATTCATTTACTTGAACAAAGAGGGACTATGAATATCACACTCTTTAAACTGGAGATTTCATCTAATTATGTGTAAATTTTGCAGGTAGTGCATTCTCGATGGCTGTTACCGACTGGTGAATACGCTGAAGAAGCTGAAGTTGTGAAGTGAAGCCTTTTCCCTCATCCGTTGCTGCTTTCTTTTCCTTTTTCTGAAACAGGCCATGTGTCTGATTGGTAGCAGCCATATGATTTTACAGTTGTAAGCTATGTTGAATTTTAGCACCACCACTTTTCTTAACAATGCTGTTGTTCCTTTGGCAACTACTGCTGTGTTCATGTTTGCTTCTTTGGGGGTTTTAAATTTTATAGGTGGGGCCTTGTTTTTGTGTCTAATTCCCATCAGATTTGCTTGTTCCTGAAGAAGCTAAATCTGTACCATTTGAAGCTCTCTTCAGAGTTGAAAGACATATGGGTAACACTTTGATTCTGATAGACCCAGACTTCAGTGACACCCCTCCACCATCCCTTTTCGAGCTAAGAAGTGTGAGAAGTCAGCTCTTGGAAGAAGAGATGCTTTGGCACTCACTTGGGGACAATGGAGAACAAAATAGTTTTGTTAGAATTTAATTTCTCCATTGGGACAAAGGGGTTGAATTCTATATGTGAGAACAAATTTGATTGATTTCATTATACAAATAGTTATTGAGTGCTTAGTGTTTTTAGGAATTAGAACTATACGATATTATCTGATGTACTCATCATAGTCTTTTTGATGAGTTTGGTTAGATGACAAGAAAGAGTATTATTTGGGATACACATTAGATCAGGAGTGTCTTTGCCTTGCATGTAGCATGCCTTGGGTAAAACCAATTGAAATAACATCCAGATCTCTTTTTATAGTTGTAGGGGGAAATGTGAAAGCAGGTTTCATGGATGGACTTGTGTGACTAAACTGTTCATCGCCTTCATCCCAAGTGAGACAGATGAGCAGTGGCAAAGATCAGGAAAGTAGCCTCATGAAAGCACAGGCTCTGATGCTTTGCTAATTTTCTCTTGAGAGTCACAGCTGTTTTTGTGGCTGCCCACCAGCTTTCCAGAAAGACCACTGATCTTAAAGAAAGACAGTGCTTGAGGGAGTATTGACTATGTACTCTAGTCCTCAGCCCCAGACTGCCCTCACTCCAAGCCCTTTTCCCATCAACAGTGCAAGAAAAACAAAATGAATTCCACAGACACATTAGAGCCACTGTGCTGTGTATGGACGGTGCTTCTCTTGGGAGGACTAATTGGGTTAAAAATAGAACTAGACTGAGGAGAGCAGCTGGGAGGTTAGAGCCACCTCTAATCTGAACAAAAAGTGTCCCTGAGTTCCTCCAGCTCACCAAGATCAGTCTTTGTCAGGAGTTTTCTGATCCTAACTAGTAGTAATTCCTCCAGGAGGTTAGATCGTGGTCCATCTAGCCTAATCTGCCTGGGGTATAAAACAATTATAGGAAAACACCATATCATCCCAAGTGTTGGTTGAGAGGTAAGCAACTCCACTAGGAATTTCTATTTTCTTTTATTTCTATACAAATCAGGTTAACAGCATGTATTTAAGGCAGTCTTGCTATGAGTAAGCAATATGCTCTATCCTGTGGAGTTATTATTGGCCTCAATGACTTCATGTTCTTTAGAAGAAATAAGGTTAAGTATGCACCAAACAGTAGTTCTCAGCCTTTTCATCAATTATTCATTTGCATTTTTTGGGTCCATAGATGTCAATTTTTGAAAGATTCTATACATAAAATTGAATTAATTAGTAAATTATTACTTTCTCATTTAAAATTAAGAAAAACCTGTATAAAATTTCCTCACACAAAGTTAACATGATTCTAACAAACAATCAATTCTATAGCATACAATTTTTGTAATGATTCAATACATTATGCTATTGTCACTATTATTTTATAACAGTGGAATCACAGACAAATAGACTATTTTACTGGGCTCTTTGTAATACTAACAATACCTCAGAATCCATCAATACTACCTTCTTAAAAGTATATGAAGTTTGGGAATATAAGTTAGGAAAACCCTTGTAGAAAACTGGTAGTTTTAATACATACTAAATACCAATAAATGCTAAAGAATTTTAGGAAATTCGAAGTTCAATATGCACCATTTTGGGTTGCAAAGCTTCCAGGGTAACCAGATGGTTTTAACTTGTTCCCAATCTAAAAAAAAGTTGACTGTGGGGCCTGGGGATTTTAGCTCAGTGGCGCCTCGCCTGCCTTGCAAGTGCAAGGTCCTGAGTTCGATCCCCCGTAACAGAAAAAAAAAAATAGGAAAGTTGATTTTGCTTCTCTTCAAAATAATATGTAATATTACAGCCTTATTGAGACGTACTCCAGGTCTTTGTTTTTTAAGTCTACATCTACAATTTTATTCTTCATCAATTATCCTTTATTCTTCATTCTGTACTACATTACAATACTAAGTACAAAGCAGACATCTATGATTACTTTTGTGGTAGGTAATATTAAATCATACCCTTGTGCTTATAATGTGACAACAAATAGTTCTCTGAGGATTTTGTCTATAAGTAAAAGTTTTAGGAGACTTAATCTCACTCTTTTTTGCTTGAAATATATTTATTTTGATAATTCTGCTGAACTATATTTGTTCCAGGAAAGAAAAGGATTCAGTATTGAGAATTTCATACCATTATCACTGAAATTCATGATATTGCCAAGACAGTTTTGAAACTTTGCAATATATATGACCTACTTTATAAAAGGACTCACCTATTGAATTCCCCACTGATCAAAGATTCTACCTTTTTCATGAAATGTTTATTAGTGAGAAGGAAAATAAAATCATACCAATTTTGCATATGTAACTACCCAATGCATTTAAAATTCCTCCATGAGTTGCTTTGTTTATGGGATTGTAGTATTTCACTTGTATTTACAAAGCTACTGAGGCAACTATTTATAGTCTATTTCATTCCAATCATTTGCCGTATTTTGGTGTTTGTGATGAATACATAAAATAATTCATGTTTTAAAACATTGAGATTTCTTAAGATGGTTCAGACAAAAATATAGACAAAACAGCAGTTTCTTATACTTTAATCTTTTAGATTAAGCTCAAATGGTGGAAACTTATTCTTGAGCTTCCAAGAAGAGAACTGATTTTTAGATGGAAAGTTGGGGCCTTGTTTACAAAGAAGTCCTACTTGCTTGTACTGGTATCATACCCTGAGGGCCCCCATCCAGGATAAAGGCAGACAGAAAGATGATCAGTCATGTTCCAAAGGTGACTGGGTCGATGGGGCCAAAAGAGCTACATGATGATTTATTTGTTTGTAAGGTGCTGAGGTGTGCAGCATGAAGAGTTTTTTTCCTACAAACCAAAACGAGGCACAAACACATAGTGGTTGCTGATAGACAATGAATTTGAAAGAATTCAGTGTCAGAAATGATATATTCTTCGAGGCAAATTAGAAGCTATACTCCCTATAGAAGTTTCTCTTTATAAAGAAAAGAAGATTGTGAAACGGAGGGTGCTAAGTAGATGCCAGGTACTGTGTTAGGGTCTAAATGTGCTAAAAAGAGTATGATATCCATGTCTTTCAGAAATTCACAGCCTAGTAAAGAAAATAATTTTGACTATCTATTAGGTTCTAGGCACTTTGCATATGCCATCTCTTTTATCCTCATGTGGAAAGATAAGTTTGTAAAAACTGAAGAGGAGTTACCTTCATTTAGTCTAGCAAAAGGACAAGACGGAGAATTAGGCAATAATACCTTATCTGTTTCTTCAGATACATAGATATGTAATATTACATCTACACACATAGATGGTGGATGGAAGGAAGATGCGTAGATCACTTTTTTCTTAAGTTTAAAGAGACTGGGTCTCACTATGTCGCCCAAGTTGGCCTAAACTCTTGAGTTCAAGTTATCTTCCCGATCCTCTTGAGAAGCCGAGACTATAGCCACACTCCACTTGGCCTGGCTATTTCACTTTAAAAACAAAATGAAACAAATATAAAACTACTTAGTGTTTTGTTACTTTGGGGGGATAAATCAATGATTCAGTTCCCAGGCCTGTATGTCTGGGAAACAGAATTTGACTTTCAAGACCCTTCCAAGACACAGTAACCAATGAGGCCCAGGCTAAAACTGTGTTTCTGATCTATTAAAACTTATCAGATCTATTGCCATAAGAGACATAGATATACCAGTCATAGACATATCACTCATATCAGATATACCCATGCTACAAGTCAAGGCATAGGAGCAATTGACATTTGAGAGGTGTGAAGAATATTCTAGAGATCAAAATAATAGTTTCTAGATAGGTGTTTGAAACCCAAGCAGTTCAGTGATGACCTCATGATTAATACTGAAAGGCAAAAGAGGTTATTGGTGAAATGCACAGGCTCTGCAATAAGGGGCCTGTGTTCAAATCCTGGGCCCAACACTGACCAGTTTTGCTGCCATCAGCAAGCTACTAGGCTTTCTAAGTTTTGGCTTCCTTGTTGGAAAAATGGGGATCATAATAGTATTTGCTTCATAAGGCTGTTAATATAAATAGTGCACTCAAAATGCTTAGCAGAATTCCTGGAATATAGTTTGTACTTAACACATAATAGCTGTTAATTATTCTAAGAATAAAACTTTAAAAGCAGGCAGGGTTTCAGCTAGAATTAGAGGCTTTGTTTGAGTCATGAGGCAGGTTAAATTAGGGCAAGTAAAAGGAACTATGCATAGCAGACAGAAAGATAAAGAACTTACCACCTTGAATATATTATGCAGGTTCAGAGTATAAGTTGAGTCAGATGTACCACTGCAGTGCCCCTGGAGCCCCATCAATTCCTCTATCACAGCTCTTAAGTGAATTGTAATTGTGTATTTGCTTGTTTGTCTTCTTCACTAGACTGTGAACCACTTGAGGGCAGGTACCGCACTTTTCTTCTCTCTGACCTAAGCACCTACTGTGGTATCTGGCATATAGTGAATGGTCATAAATGGTTGAAAGAGTAAATATATTTAAAACAGGCTTAGATAGATTTTTATAACAACCCTGCCTCTGGCTTCTCACTTACAAAAGGGCTTTTAGAAAAAAATACCCTCATAGGCAAACCCCAACACTGTCAAAAGGAGGTGCTCTTATTTTTAAAGAAGAAATGTAACTTTTTTCCCTCATTTTTCTAAAGGAAGTGAATTTTAGTAAGTGCTGAGAGAATGTGTAAACTCACCGCAGGTGACAATATCATAACACTGTCACAGGAGAATTCACACCTAGAGATAAGCTAGTGAAAGAAAAAAGTTAGT